TCAAGAAGAAATTCTTCCAGCATTATTTTCCTAGTGCCCTTAGAGCTGACCAAGAAGCAGAATTCTATGCCTTCAAGCAGGGAAACTTAAATGAGGAAGACTTTATCACTCGATTCCTCTAGTTAGTCAAATACACTACTAATCCACAAATGCAACATAACTCGAAATGGATGGCTGATAGGCTATTGGAAAAGGCCAGGCCAGAATAAAGAACAGCTTTAGCACCCTTGGAGATTAATAATTTTGAAAAGATGTGCACCAAATTGCATATCATTGCTAAAAGAATGAGAGAGGAGGAAGCTGAGAAAAGAAAGGACTCTTATACAAGGTCTCTTCCATTCATGAGACCTACGAGAACAGCTTCAACAGGTCAAAGAAGCAGTTACATCAACCCTCCAGAAATCAATCGAGTGGACCTTCGAGGAGTCAATTCAATGGACCTCCAAGGAGTCAGATCAGTAGGGGACAGAGCTCCTACAGGGGTTTTACAGCTCCTATCACTAGCACTACCAATAGTCAAAAGTGTGCCAACTGTGAGAAGGTGCATCAAGGAAATTGCATCATCTGCTTCAAGTGCAGGAAACCGGGCCACACTTTTAGATTCTGTGAGGAAGGCTCACGAGAGGTCAATGATACCAGAGCTACAATCCCTTATTGACTAGTGGTCACTAGGAGTTTCATCATCAACATGGCCATTTCCTTCTTGATGACTATCACGCTGACCTTGGATTGCCACCAGCTCGTCCTCATGTCTCTTCACTCTCTGATCAATGCTCACAACATAGTCTTGTAATTCTCACAAAATAGTATTATTATCTTGATGAGAAGGAACATCTTGATTGGGAACTGGGGTAGAGTTAGTCCTTCGAGTGTTCACCATTCTCCACTCTTATGTAGAACAGCAGAAGGACAAACTAAACAGCATTACTAAAATAAACTTTTAATCTAAAAACTAAAAAGAAGTGCAAATGTTATTATATTTAAATTATCATGACCTCTAGAATTCTTTTTTTTTTTCCAAACCTTTTTTTTTGGAAATAATATTTCACACAAAAATCAAATAAAAAGCCATGGAACGTTGTAGCTCTGATATAAAAAATGTAATACCTCATATAATTATATCCACATACACGACAAAATACTTTATTTAAAAGTTCATACATATTTCTAACACTTCAACAGGTCATAATTTCAAAATATTTCTAACATAACTTAACAAAATAAACTATTGAAGTCTTATAGTCCTAGCAAATAAAAATATAACATAATATGTGCTTGAGGAGCACAGAAGCCTTTACGGCTCACTCTATCGATGCCTTCCCTTAATTCCTACTAAATCCTTTACCTGAAAATGTTAATCTAAGGAATGAGATCAAACGTCTCAGTAACTACTAAAATTCTAACCTATACAAGCAAACCATATATGATAAACAAAAATCCGTTTATTTGTGTGTATACATATTTATGTATGAAAATCACGGATTTATACATTCAACTCAAATTTATTTTTGATTCAACAATACACCAATGTCATTTTTCTAATATATCCAAAAATAATACAATGCGGCCTCCCTTATATCACCGTCCACCCTTATATTGCTGACTGGAACCATAGACTAACATATATTCTAATAGCAACTAATCTATTTTACTGAATTATTCCAAACTCACTGATACTAGAGACATATCCGGCCAAAGATATAAAGCTCAAGGTCAGACTATGGCTCCCCTCCTTTGTAAATAAAATAAGAAGGCATCACATATCCCAAAGCTCCAATTAATTCTCGGCCAAAAGAAAACATGAAAAAAGGAATCCTGAGAAGTGACATCCACTATGCACCGAGTGATGACATACCACGTGGTAATTTTATATCCATGCAAATCTCCTTCTATCCTTAGCCTAACAATGCATCATATGCAAATAATGTTACATCATAAATACGTCCTCAAATATATTATTAAAAATAAGATAGCAATAAAACTTATATACCATTTAACAGCAACTCATGATAATTCCATAGTTATCAATATATTTAAATATTGATCATAATTAATAGCAATAGATCTTAACAAAATTAAGTAACATATCAAAACATTTGTTTGAAAAATCATAATATTATATTTCAGTATGATATAAAAATTGGTAAATCCATAATATAATTCATACACAATTCACTTGTACATGAAAGAATTTTTAGAGTTGCCTGGTACTCTTTAGCTTACAAATATTCACACAAAGATTACTTCAAAATTCTCAAGAGTCTACAAAATTACACATAAATATTTATTAATATAAAACTCAAGACTATTCCAAAATTACTTTAAAATTCTAAAACTACCCTCTGAACTAAAATTACAAAAATACATTAACTCTCACAAATCTAGCTATTTATAATAGATATACTATTATTTTGAAAATATAATTTACATATAAAACTATTTAAATTTAATAACAAATAAATATATTTTTATTATCCAAAATTTAAATATTTCACATTAAAATCTCAATTATTTATTATTGTCTCATTTAAAATTTTTTCTCAAATCAAACAACTTCTTTGAATTATAAACAAACCTAAACCTTATTTAATTTCATAAAATTCTCAATTTATAATTAGAAAAATTGCAAATAAAGGCTCTCAATATGTGAAATTGTGATTTGGGACCCTCAATTTGAAAAATAGCAAATAAAGACATGGTCCCATATTGTAAATATGAAATCTTGGTGAAATGTCTGAAATACCCCTTTGGTCTATTGAAATTATCATTCAATAAAGTAAACTTGTCATTTTCCATAGTCAACTTTGTCATTTGGCATATCTTCAGCCAAATTATGATTTGGTCTACTGAAGTTGTCATTTGTTAAAGTGAAATTATCATTTCCCAGAGGCAACTTGTTATTTGGCTGAGGAGAGTTTCAGACATTTCACTAAGATTTCATATTTGCAATATGGAACAGGGTCTTTATTTGCTATTTTTTGAATTAAGGGTCCCAAATCATAATTTTACATATTGGGGGTCTTTATTTGTCATTTTTCCTTTACAATTCTTTAAGCTTTCAAAAATTATTTCAACAATATATTTTTAACCTATTCAATATTCAAACCAATTAAGACCTCAAAAATGCATTAAATAACTCAAATAAATTATTTAACTTAAATTTAATCGTAAAAACATTCTTTATCTTTGAATAACAAATTTTTCAACTAAAATTTTAATTTAAAATTCTCAAAACAATCATTGAACAAATATAAACTGATTAAAATTTTTTAATAATGTATTTTTAAATTTTTATGGTTATATATTGTCAAAACTCTATATTTACTCCACATCCAAACGGTAAAATTTTCTTTAAACATTATAATGAAGCTAATAATATAAAGCTCTAAATATATAAGAAATATGTATAATGAAAATTTGATAACAAGAAGTATATTTGTATACCTAAATGATTTTCAAATCTTGTCCTAACTTTCAGATCACGTATTGCAGCTCAGCTTCTCGCTTTCTCCTTCTGCCTCCCGCTCCCCCTTTCTCTTGTGCTCTCTCACTCTCTTTCGTCTCCCTACTCTCTTTTATTCTATTTTCCTTCACCTTCCAATTACCCACACTTTTTTTTTCCTTCTTTATTTACTACTCCTTCATTGTTTTTCAACTATTTTTAACTACTCCACCCATTTTCCTTCTGCAATTAATACTTCCCCCCATTTTTTCTTTGTTCTTCATTAAATACCCATCCTTTCCACCCAATTTTTTCCACCTCCATCCGTCCTTTTTTCTTTTTCCCTCTGCAATTAATACTTCTCCCCATTTTTTCTTTGTTCTTCATTAAATACCCATCCTTCCCACCGAATTCAGTAGAAAGCTAGGTGTTTTTTTTTAAATAATAAAATGTTATTTAATTTAATTTAATACTTTTTTTTACAACTTCTTTTTTAAAGTACGTTATAGGCTTACAGCACTCATTTTTGATATTTGATTCCGCCATGAGTTCGTTAAGGTCGATAATTAAAATATTGGCAATCCGTCAAATGCTCAAATTCTAATAGTTATCTAACTAGTAAACATATTCTACTAATGGATATTTTTATACCATAATACTCTTCCGATTCTAAATATAAGATCCTTATACTAATATGTATAAGAATGCTATATTATTCGTATAAGAATCTTATATTTAGGATTGGAGGAGTATAATGCATTTTATCATTTAAGTCATTTGGTTTAACTCACACCAAGTATCTCTTTAAGTCAAAAGTTGCAAGCTTGACCATCTAAACTGCTAAATGAAGAATGATAAATATATATATATATGGTTTATCTAATTATTTAAAAAAATATAAAAGTGAAAATATTATATTCTGAATATGTTAATAAAGAATGAAAAAATGCATAAAACAAGTTAAAAATTACAATATTCTAATTTAGGAGTCTCAGATGTCAAAATCACATAAAAGAAAGTGATGTCTAATTTGATATTTTGCAAATGTAGTTAAACGATAAAATGTTCTTATATCAAAAAGTTTATTAACAAGTTCTAAACTGACAATAACTAATGTTGAATAGCAAATGATAAGAAATATATTAGTAATGATAAGTTATTTATTAATAAGTTGTGAACTGATAATGATAAGTATTAAACAACTAATGACATGAAATATATTGACAATGATAAATTTGATAGCCTTTTTTTAAAAAAAATTATATAAAAATATTTTAGTTATTTGCAAAATAACAGATCAAGCACAGCTTCTTCTCTTGAAATTTTAACCTCTTATGAATTGGAATATTACAATTTATTTTCTCATAAAGAATTAAATATATTAAAAATAAATTTAATTTAAATATATATCATAATCAAATGGCTATCGTGCATCTCATGGCACCGATAAAGTTTAAAGTTATTTTTATTTTATTTATCTTCTGTTAAATTTTTGTTTTGCAACGATACTGCCACTTCGAGCAATCTCTCCTGCTTTTGGGAGCTTGGGATTTGCCCTGTGACTGACACTCACAGCACTCTCCCTGTCGATCTTATCTTCCTTTTCTCTTCTTCCACTAAACTCAAGTGGAGTTCAACAAAGAGGCCCCAAGTTGGTATCTTTTCTTCTTCTTCCATTCTTCTCTTAAAGACCAATCGCATTGGATTCTTGATAGATTCTGTTTCAATCACACACCTGTAGTATAGATTAGTGTAAATTCAAAGATACCTTTTATTTCAATGCTTCATTACAGCTCAAATAATGATTTCTGCTATATTCTAGAAGAATTTATTTCTCTTATTGGTGTGCCGTTGAGATTTGAGAAATATGATGTCCTGTTTGTTAGATTTCAAGGGGCGTCGCTGTCCTTATATGGTAAGATCAACACAAGCATTTAAAGCTGCTCAACTCTGGTCCATATTTGGTACCAGTGGGTACCAAATACCTTGCTTTTCTTGAGGAATTAAAGCGGTATGTTCTTCAATTCTGAGGATCCCATAATCCACCATCGAGCAAAGCAACAAAAATGGGAGAAGCTAAGTTCAGCTTCAAGGACAAAAGATGGTCACTCAGTGGAATGACTGCTCTAGTGACAGGGGGAACCAGAGGCATAGGGTAAGCTTTTATTCAATTCCTTTCCAAGCTTATCCCATCTCTAGTTTTAACTTTCTCTGTATACCAAAGTTGTTGGTCCTGAAACTTGAGATATTATGTCTCCCGTCTATTCACTTGAAAAATATTATATTTTGTTGTGTTGTTGAGTTCTTGTTCCTTGCTGTGATGTGGCCAATATTTATATTGGTTTCCTTGTTTCTTAGCTTTCTGCTATTGATTAGTCTTGAATGATTTGAAATTAGTTATGCCATAGTAGAAGAATTAGCAGAATTTGGAGCAGCTGTGCATATATGTTCACGTAACCAAGCAGAGATTGACAAATGTTTGAACGATTGGAAAAGCAAAGGGTTTAGTGTGACCGGATCAGTTTGTGATGTACAATTTCGTGAGCAAAGAGAAAATCTAATGGAAATTGTTGCCTCCATCTTCCAAGGAAAGCTTAACATTTTAGTAAGATTCCGGTTTGATCATGCTTCTTCCCTGAACTGGTTGTGTTTGAGTTGACTTTATTTAGTTGTACATTCTCAGGTAAACAACGTTGGAAAATATCTTATTAAGGAAACTACAGATTACACTGCTGAAGATGTATCAACAATTATGAGCACAAATTTTGAGTCTGCTTATCATTTGAGCCAACTTTCTCACCCACTTCTAAAAGCAACAGGATATGGTAGCATGGTTTTTATCTCCTCTGTTTCTGGTGTGAAAGCTTTGCCTCTCTTGTCTGCCTATGCAGCATCTAAAGGTATTTTTTTGCTATTCCTCATCACACTTTACTCAGAAAGCTGAGATATGATGCATTGATGCAATACTTCAAGCTCAATTAAAACACTATATCTAAAATTGTTGTGCTTCAAAATGGATGCTTCTTAGATCATAAGTCAAAATTGAAGGTAATTAATCTGCATGATTTCATTCAGGAGCTATAAACCAAGTCACAAAGAACTTGGCAATGGAATGGGCAAAAGATAACATTCGTGTAAATACAGTGGCACCAGGACCTGTGATGACTGCAATTTCAGAGTCTAACACGGTATAAATATTTGACCAACTACATTCATCTCCTTGATGTTTTTCGATATTATACAGCTCGCCTGAAACTTGCAAAAAACGTGCACTCTCCCCCACTAGATTTAAAAAAGCTACACTTACCTCCCTTGTTTTACATTTTCATTAACATTAATTGAGCCTTTTGGTGATTACCACTGCATTGAACCAGGTTATAGTAGTTTTGAAGAGGATAATTGCATGGGATAGAAGTTTTGTTAAGAATCTGCACTAACTTTTTAATCTGTTTTGGAAAGCATTGCATTAAAACTGAAGTCCCTACAGGCTGCTGCATTTAAACTGCTCAGGGTGTTGTTAAATAGTATATCTGCTATTCCTTTTTCAGTTGTTGATTTTGCTGCATATTAAATCTTATCATTCAGCAATAAAATTGATCTTCTGACAGAACAAATCAAGAGGGGAAAAGGCAACAAATGCAGTAAGTTCTATATTGTCTCAGATACCCATAGGCCGCATGGGAAAGCCTAAGGAGATTTCAGCAATAGTTGCTTTCCTCTGCCTTCCTGCTGCTTCGTACATCACCGGTCAGATCATTTGTGCTGATGGAGGTTACACAGTTTGAATGGTTTTGATGATCCTATGAAGACAAAATGTTAGGGCCGTGTTTGCCTATAGGCAATTAAGTAAGGTCTTTGCCTTGGGCCTCAGAAAAATTGTCTTTTATGTCCCGAACCCAAATAAAACCCTTGTTGCACTTTTCCTGTTATCACGGCTTAAAATAAATAAATATATATATACACACACACACGTGACTGTTGATACGGTAAATCATTTTAAAGGTTTTAGTTTTATTAATTATTTAGGCGGGGAAAAACTATTGAAATAAATATGATCCTTGAAAAGCATATAATTCATAGAAAATGATATTTTGATGAGCTCATGGAAGTATTAGTCATGAAATTACACATTAATTGGAAAATTATTTTAAATCAGTGATATTGGCATTGATAATGCAATGTTGTGATTACTTGATTAGGATATTTTAATACTACCTCCCGTCTTAATTATAAAAGCTAATTGACTAATTTGAAGAGATTAAGAAAAGAAGTTAAGTTAGTTATTTATAATAAATATATGTTGTCTTTCTTAAGATATTCTTGTTAATTAAGTGTATTGGCTAAAATTACCATTATTAAACAAAGTCTTAGGATTACCTTAGAAAAAAATGTATAAATATGAGAGATAAAGTGGATTGGGGTTTTATATTTAGAATCAAAATAAAAGTCAAACAAAATCTTATATTAAGGATCAGAGGTAGTATTTGATTTTGCAGTCTTATATTAAGTGAATTTTTGGGCTTTTTAGACAGGCTTATGAGGTTTGGCCCGACTCTAGTCTGATTATCTTTATGATTGAAAATGTGCTCACCAGCAAACTTGAATAAAATAAGTCTACTTGGAGTCTCTTTTAAGGCATTCTAGCGATGCATTATACAAAAATTAAAATTTAATTAGCTGAGTACAACAAATACGCACTTAAAAAGAGTGGGAATGGTAGTAGATAACATCATAAAAATGACCCTGCATTAAATATTAATTAATTAGTTAGAACTAAGGCTAGTGGGAGAACATCAAGCTTGCTGCTACTATATTCCCCAATCTTGTCCATATTCATTCCACAAACACAACCAAATTGATAAAGAGCCAACCCCCAACCACCCCGTTTTGTTTTGTTGGGTCATTTCTGCAGGAATTCCGTCTTCGTTGTCAGAGACATCTTCGGATGTTCCTGCTCACTGTTAAGAGCCTGTTTGAAACAGTTTATAAATACTCCTCCGGTCCTAATTATAAGACCCAATTGACTTATTTGAGGAGATTAAGAAAGTCAGTTAAGTTGGTTATTTATAATAAATAAGTGTTGTCATTCCTAAAATATCCTTGCTAATTAAGTATATTAGCTAAAACTATCATTATTAGAAGGATTATCTTGGAAAAAAATACATAAATATAAGAGACAAAATGGATTGGGTCTTATAATTAGGACCAAATAAAAAGTCAAATTGGGTCTTATAATAAGAACCGGAGGAGTAGCTTATAAGTAACTTTTTAATAATGATTTGTGAAATACTAGGTAAGTATGTGAGAGAAATTTTATCTCGGTTTATGTGAAATGTGTTTATAGGGGATTTTTTAAACCCTCCCAAATAGGTATTAAATTGAATCGAGCATGTATTTCTTTGATCACGTTGAAAAGTTTAAGCAGAAAATTGGGGGGGAAAAATCTTAGGTAATTGGGCGAAATACAAAACAATGAAACATTTCATGTTCTTTCAGGAAGATTATAATTTCGATTTTATATTGACGGATGCAACTTCATTTAGATTTGGACAGGCGGCAGATAAAAAAGTTAAAAGCAAAAATTCTCACAAATTATATCAATGAAGTATATACTACCCCTATCATAAATATAAGAACTAATTAACTAATTTGAGTAGATTAAAAAAATAAGTTAAGTTAGTTATTTGTAATAAATAGGTATTGTTTTTTCTAAAATATCCTCGCTAATCAAATGTATTGGTTAGAATTATTCTTATTAGAAGGATTATCTTAGAAAAAAAATGTATAAATATGAAAGATAAAAAAGATTGAAGTCTTAGATTTAGAATTAAAATAAAAATTAAATGAGATCTTATATTAAAAAGTGGAGGTAGCATCATGAATCTCATATCAAAATGGTTACCTTGAGCGCCTTGTAAGACCTCCCCCTTTTGGCATAAAACAAGTCAATCCCATATACTAAACACTTTTTAATAAATTTTTCTCAATTCTAATCTCAATACTCACCTCTCATTCTTAATACTCCTTTTAATACTATCTCCTATCCTATTTATAAAACTTTATTTGTAGTTTACAAACGAAATCTTATAAATAGAACCGGAGGTAGTATAAGACATATTTAAATAATTTGATTAGATTAAAGAGATTAGATAGATTAGTTAATTATAAAAAATATGACATGTTTTTCTAAAATATCATAATCATCTTTCTTAATATTCTTATCTTCTGTCCTACTTGATTATGGTTGAAAGGGTATTAATAAGTATAATTTAAAAAAATTGATAAATATGATAAATAAGTTTTATATTTACGACCAAAATTAACTTAATAATTAGATTCTATAATAAACACATATCACGCAGGATCTTAGATTCTTCGCCTCCCAGCAACTAACTATTACTTTGACTCATGCTCATTATAGCAGTACTTTCATTAAAAGCCGGCCATCAGCTACTAAACAAAGTACAGTGGTGTGAAAATGCTTGCGCTCAATTACAGATATCAACAGCCATGTGATTTAACTTGACGTGTGTTTGGCAGGGGGCAAGGAAAGGGAAGGGAAAAAGAGTGATCTTGCTCCGTCCTTTTATTTGGCTTCCCAAAATTTGTAGGAGAGAAGCAAAAATTTTCCACGTCTTCTCCCATAACCCTTCCCTCAAAAACTGAGAGGACGGTTAGAGAGGACAAACAATATTTTGTCTTATTCTATCTATTATGGGCTTGTTTGGAAGGATTTAAAAAATTATTTATAAGCATGTTTTACGTAAATCGAGACAAAATTTCTCTTATATATTTGTCTCATATTTTATAAATTATTATTAAAAAGCTACTTATAAATTGTTCTAGGACTTTGTACCTGTAAGTATATTTATTATTCCAAGTTACCCTTTTTTACACCCTCACGCTAGGCAGTCTTTGGCTCCCCCCTCTCCTTCGTCTTCCACCATGACCCCGCCGCTGCTTCTTCATCTCCCAAGAATCGGAGCTCTCCTCCTTCGCCTACTTCATCTTCTCCTTCTCCATCTCCAACCGTTGACACTCAACTTCAATCTCTGTGCCTCCTTCATCTTGCATCTTTATCTCCACTGTCTCCCCTTCTTTTCCATCCTCTATCTTCATATTCGACTTGACTGTGACAATTCATCCTTTCACCAGCACGACTCCTCCGTTTTGACAAGGCATCAATTTTTGGTTGCCATCCACAATGATGTTACTTTTCTTCAACTTAATTACAGCTCTGATTGGATTTCTACTTCAACATGTTGGATTTTTTTTCCAACTTGAAAAACAAATAGTTGCCAAATATTGCTGGATTTTTTTTGTTGTTGCTACCCACAGTGATGTTATTGTTTTTTTTTTATTGTTAATGGATATAATAATTATATTTATTCAATTTTAGTAATCATAAAATTATAATTTTATATATTAAATAGAACAAGTATAAATTTGTTCTTATAAAAATATTTTTCCTCTCTTCTCCTCCTAAACCAAACAAGATAACATTAGTATCTATTCTTTCCCCTCCATTGTGATCAATCCGAACGAAATAATATTAAAATCTTTCTCGTCCTTTTACCTTTTATTCCTTTCATTAAAATCCCATCCCTCCCCTCTTTCTGATTGAGTCAAACAGATCCTTAAACAATACTCCTTCGGTCTTTAATATAAGACTTAATTGTTGAGTTGGTTTTGGTCCTAAATATAAGACTTATTTTTATGTTTATCAATTTTCTCTAAATTACCCTTATGGATACTCTTCAACCACAATCAAGTAAAAGAGGGATATGAGGTATTAAGAAAGATGATTATAGTATTTTAGGAAAAATGTGTCACTTTTCTTATAATTAACTAACTTACCTAACTTTTTAAATCTAATCAAGTTAGTTATATGGATCTTATATTAAGGATCATAGGAGTATTACATGCCACGTGACACACGAAGCTAGGCATTTTCATGACCGATTGTCCACTGAAGACGGAATGATCAGAATGTGCAAAATCGTGCATGTGTTCTTTGCAACTGAAACTTGAGAGACCATTAATCCTTTTTTTATAATTGTAATTAATAAGTTTAATGTTCGGTTGAAAACCTTATTAGTTGATGGAAAGGGGCACACAAAAGCCATAGGGCTTAGATTCAAACATTTTTTATGCCTCCTTCTTATCCAAGAGAGACATGTTGTCTGCTATCTTTAAGAATTGATATTGAATATTTGTTCTTCACTTTTTTTAATTTATAAATGACGCAGACTTATTGCATATACTTTGATGATAATGTTAAAAAATAATGATATTTAATATAAGGGTTAGATAACTAATTTGAAGAGATTAAAAAAATTAGTTAAGCTAGTTATTTATAAAAAATGTGTTAAATTTTCTAAATTACCCTTAATAACTACTCCCTCCGTTCCTTATTATAAGATTCAATCTTTTGAATGTGTCTGTCCCTTTTTATAAAATCTTCTTTGAGTTTGTCTGAACATTTAATGTATTATTATATATTTTACCTTTAATTTAATATATTTAATACATTCTCTTTCTTTGTTTATCTCACTATTACTATCTCATATTTACCCATTTATATATACAGGTATATTTGAAAAAAAATTATATTTGCTACGTATTTATTGTTTTTAACTAATTTTAAACTGTTTTTTTAAACCGCTTAATTTAATTAAAAAAATTTTATAATAAAAGATGGAGGGAGTACCTTCTGGTGGAAATACTTTAAAAACATTTTAGAAAATACATTATAAATTTAAAAGATAAAATTAATTAAATTCTTATATCTGAAACATTTAATTAGTTTATGTATCTAGGAACGAGATGACAACATCAAACGGGAACCCTATAAGGGTAAATAAGTGAAGATCTGCAGAAAGGACCACTTTTATTCACAGGTCCTGTGCATCTGCCATCTTTTTAAGAA